CTTGATTCCTTGACTGATCAAGAATCTATCTGAGCCTTAAATATTCACAAGGACTCTGCCCCCACAGCTCTCTGTATCAAGGAGTTCCAAAAACTCTCAACTCTCTGACAGAAGAAATTCCTCCTTCTCTCAGTCTTAAATTGACACCCTTTATTCTGAAACTATACCCTCTGGTCCTAGAGTCTCCTATGAGAGGAAACATCTTCTCATCATTTGCCCTTCCTTGACCCTTAAAAATTCTATGTGTTTCAATGGGATCACCTCTCATTTTTTCAAACTCCACTGAGTACAGTCCCAAACGGTTTAGCCTTTGTTTATAAGACAATCCCTCCACACCAGAGATTATCATAGTAAACTTTCTCTGAACTGCCTCCAATGAAATATCCTTCCTTAAACATGGGGATCAAAACTGCTCACAGTACTCCCAGAGTACTCCGCAACTACTCACAGATATGATCTCACCAGCACCTTGTACAGTGAAGTAAGCCTTCCCTACTCTTATACGCCAAACCTCTTAAAGTAAGGGCCAACATTTCATTAGCCTTCCTGATTATCTGTTGCATCTGTGTGCTAGCTTTTTGCGTTTCACGCACAAGTAGCCCCAAGTCCCTTTGTACTGCAGCTTTCTATAGTTTTTTTTCCCATTTAAATAATATTCTATTTTGCGTTCTCCTTTCCAAAATGAACAACTTCACATTTTCCCACTTTATACTCCATTTGCTAACATTTTGTCCACTTACTTCAGTTATCTTAGAAACTGTTTGTATCCCTCTTGTAATCTGCCCTTCCACTTGTAGCAGAATATACAGAACAAACCCATTCCAATTAGAAAGAAAAAATCCTGAAGGGAGAACTTACCATCACTCATTAACCAAAGTGCCAGAGAATGGCAACTTGTGCTGTTCTCCTGTATTGAATCATAGAATCCCTACAGTGTGGAAGCAGGCCACCTCAACCCTCTGAAGACCATCCCACCCACCCCCACCCTCCCTACCCTATCTCTGTAACCCTGCATTTCCCATGGCTAACCCACCTAGCCTGCATATCCCTGGACACTATGAGCAATTTTGCCTGGCCAATCTACCTAACCTGCAAACCTTTAGACTGTGGGTGGAAACCAGACCACCCGGAGGAAACCCATGCTGATAAGGGGAGAACGTTCAAAATCCACACAGACAGGTGGCCAAGGTTGGAAGCGAATCTGAGTCCCTGGTGCTGTGAGGCAGTAGTGCTAACCACTGAGCCACCGTGCCGTCCTGTACTCATGTACACGTAACAATAAAATCTAATTCAAATAAAAATAAAACTTGACAAGAAAGCATGTTATTATGCAAAGTGTGTAGCCAATCAGAAGATTCAAAGACTGACAAAAAAAAAGACAGCTAGCCGTAAATATAAAAAAAAAGATTTCTACATGGGTATACAAAACAGTTAGTGAGTTTCGCCCCACAGAAAGCGAGTCCAGGAATTAATAATGGAAAATATAGGGGGACACATCCCAGAAGTAGTTGTAAATGAGGAAGTGGAAGGGCGGGAGGAACTGAAGAAAATTACAATCACCTTACTGAGCAACTTGTTGAAGTTGCAAGCTGAGAAGTCCCAGGGTTCCGATGGACGTTATCCTCAGATCTAAAAATAAGTGGCTAGGAAGAGAGTGGCGCATTGGTTTTTAATTTTCCAAAATGCCCTAAATTTGTGAAAGATTCCATTAGATTGGAAAACAGTGAATGTATCCCCTTCATTCAGAAAGGGACAGAGACTGAAGGTAGGAAATTACAGGGCAGTTAACTCAACGATAATGCTGGAAGCTTTTATTAAAGACATTATGGCAGGGTACTTTGAAAAGTTCAAAGTCAACATAGTTTTGTAAAAAGAAAAAAATGTTTAACCAATTTATTAGAGCTCTTTAAGGAAGTAATATGTGCCATAGATAAAGGGAAGCTAGTGGATATAGAGTCATGGAGTCATAGAGGTTTACAGCATGGAAATAGGGCCCTTCGGCCCAACTTGTTCATGCTTTCCAGTTTTCACAATTAATCTAGTCCCATTTGCCTGCATGTGGTTCATATCCCTCATACCTATCCCATCCATGTACTTGGCCAAATGTTTCTTAAATGACAAAATTGTACTTGCCACCACTACTATCTCTGGCAGCCCTTTCTATTCATTACTGTCTGTGTGAAAAAATTGCCCCTCTGGATCCTTTTTTTTCTCTCCCATCTCACGTTAAACCTATGATTTCTAGACTTCTCTACCAAGGGGAAATGCTGTTGGCTATCTACCTTATCTATGCCTCTCATGATTTTAAAGATCTCTGTAAGTTCGACCTCCAGGGGAAAGAAGTCTCAGCCTTTCCGGCCTCTCCTTATAACTCAAACTTTCCAGTCCAGGTCGCATCCTAGTAAATCAGTAAATGTACTGTGCTTAGATTTACAGAAGGCATTTGACCAGGTGCCACGTCAAAGATATAGAAAAAAATAAAGTTCATGGTGAAGGGAGTAACATATTAGCATGGATAGAAGATCTTATTGAATGGCAGAACAGTTTTAAGGGCCAAATGGCTCGCTCTTTTTAATTGATATGCCTGTAATTCATTGCAAGTGATGCCTTTAAGCAAGTTAACTTTTATGTGCTCATTACAGCCTTGGTTCAAACATGAACAAAAGAGCTGAATTCTAGAAGTGAGTGAGACTGACAGCCCTTGACATCAAAGCTGCATTCAATCGAGTGTGGCATAAAGTAGCCCTTGCACAACTGGAATTAATGGAAATCAGTCCACTGGTTGGAGCCATACCTGGTACACAGAAAGATGACTGTGGTTGTTGGAGGTCAGTCATCTCAGCTCCAGGACATCTTTGCAGGAGTTCTGCAGGGTCATGTCCTAGGCCCAATTACCTTCACTCACTTCATCAAAGACCTTCCCTCCAATATAAGGTCAGAAGTGGCAATGTTTGCTAATGATTGCACAATGTTCATGATTCCTCTGATACTGAAGCAGTACTGTTCAAATGTAACAAGATCTGGAAAATATCTGGGCTTGGGGTGACAAGAGGCAAATAATATTTACACTACATAATGACCATCTTAAATAGGAGACAATCTAACCACCTGGACAGGTGCAGCTTCAACAACATTTAAGATGCTTCACACATTCCAGGACAAAGCAGCCCACTTGATTGGCACAACATGCACAAACATTCACTCCCTTCAACACTGACACTCTGTAGAAGCAGTGCTTATTATTTACAAGATGCACTGCAGAAATTTGCCAAAGATCCAGCACATTCTAAACCCACGACCACTTCCATTGAGAAGGACAAGGACACAGATACATTTGAATTTGAATTTATTGTCATGTGTACTTTTACAAGAAAAATACAATGAAAAGTGTTATAAGTCGCCTTACCATAGTGCCTGTATTAATGATGGAAGTCATAGGTAAATTCATAAGTAATAATAAAAAGTAGATTTGAGACATAAATTCATCACAGTCCGTTTAATGGCTGCTGATTTCGTAGAAAGTCGATCAAAAGATGAAACACACAGTCAGCAAGAGACCATCAATCCATAATGAGAACTCCATGCCAGGACAAAACTGACATGCCCGTCCATTGGAAAAACTGGGCTGAAAGCCTCCGCTGAAGAAAACCACCGCCAGGACAAGACTGCCACCGTGGACAAAGAAACGCCATGCCAGGCCAAAAACATCTGACGAAGAAAACGTCACCAGGAATATACGACTAACCTGGATGAATATGCCATGCCAGGTCATCTGAACGCTGGGCCAGAAGGGTTCACCAGAGATTAAGCCGGACTGCCAACAAGACCTCAACGCTGGGACAAAACTGCCATGTCAGGAGACCGCTCCACAGGTCCGAGACCACTATGCTGGGAAAAGACCGCCACTCTGAACCACCGGAAACCACCCCGTTGCTGGATAAGCCGTTAAATGAAGATAAGATGATTTTTGATGTTTTAATATTAACAATACTAATTGGAAATATTAAAAACAGAGAAAGAAAAAAATTGTAAAAGCCAACGGAATAGATGAGCTACAGGCTCCTGGGCTGAGGAGTCCGCACACCATGCTGCTACTCCATTGCCACCATCTTGAAGACATGGAAACACCACCACCTACAAGTTCCCCTCCGAACTACTCATCATCCTGACTTGGAAATATATCACCATTCCTTCACTATTGCTTGATCAAAATCCTAGAATTCCCTCCCTAATGGCATTATGGGTCTACCTACAGCACGTGGATTGTAGTGGTTCAAAAAGCCTGCTCATCACCACTTTCTCAAGGGCTACAAAGGGATGGCCAATAAAAGCCAGCCAGCGACACCCACATCCCACAAGTGAATATATTAAAAACTTGAGGATGTCCTGCACTGGGAAGGTCATATGAATAAAACAAAGAACAAAGAAGTTAACATTTCGTGTCTAGTGACCCTTCTGTAGAACATTCTGAAGAATCCAGACCTGAAATATTAACTCTGC